AACATTGATGGGACACGAAGAAGGGGTAGATATTACCTGCACTAGAACCCAAGCCCCCTCCGTGATATAGCACGGGTAGATTGAACCGAGTGTCATCGCACACACGTAACACGTCCCGAGGATCCCTATGGAAGATGAAGACCAGGAGGCAGACAGGACAAGAGAGAGAGAGAGAGATTCATGCACACTGCACCACAGCAAAGAAAGAGGAGGTGCAGGCTGGCTGGGGCGGTCGGGGATGGAGATTACGAGCACTTTGCAGCGATAAATTTCATCGGTCGAGCGCATAGAGCCATACCTAGCGCCAATCGGACGAGAGAGAGAGAGAGAAGCGCACCCTTGGGACGTATAATTCTCGACGCGCTGCGGAAAGACAGAGACGGAGCTCCCCACGTATATATATGTGTCTTCGCTGCTGGTACGGCTCCTCCAAGTGCCTACTTTTCGACTGCAGTCTCTCGTCTATCGCTCGCAGGGTTCTTCATTTTTTCAATAACTACCGGTCTTTTCGGCCCTCGTGGGACTCTTTCACCTCACGGGGCCGAAGAAACATTAGGGGAGTACGCAAGGGAGGTACGTCTCGAGGTGAACAAGAGGAGTGGATTTTCCTGTCCCATACTCGGGCGAATCCATAAAACAGTGACGCTTTGGAATTTTTTATTGCCATCCCGTTACTTTTGGATGAAAAACTGAAAGGTACTGTCATGCATAGCTATGAAAACAACCACATGAACCTGTATCCGATAGTTTCCTGATTCGTCATTTTCTCGTCGTATACTCCAACGGACCTTGGGTAATTCCTTGAACGAAAGTATCTCGAAAGAGAAGCAAAAAACGAAATGGGTCGGCTGTAAAAAAAAAGGGGCACAAGAACCCCTTGGAATACATACACATAGGCCGGATGCGCGCGTTTACGAGGTCGAGTCATTTCCATTTATGCTTTTTCGAGGGACTAGTACAGCTCGCGCGAGGAGGAAGACGGGCGCATCTCCGGGAGGGATGAAAATCAGGCAGCGCGACACGAGGTAAGGAGGGCAGGGGCTCCCGACGATTTTTCATGGAAATTCGCTCCTCCGGCCACCCCCACCTTCCACTTCCTGCCGTTTTGCTTTTCCACGCACTCCCTCTCTCCACTCGCATGCAATTTGGAGCGAGCTTCCTTTGAGAGCGGAGAAAAAAATATTTCATAAATATTTATAATCTAATTTCACGTGATGCCCGTATGTGGGGCACCTTTGCACGCGTGCGGGGCTGCGTTTTTTTTCTTCCTTCTCAAAGGTGTACGAAAAGTTTCCCGAGTTTGCATAATACAGCCGGATAAAACGGAAAACTCGTCACGTTCATTTTTCAACTTTTCCCTGCTCGCGCAGAGTAACAGACACGGTTTTGTTTCAACTGCGAGGTATCAGTAGTGCAGTTTGACGGGAAACCGAAAGAAAGCCCCCTTGGTAAAGTATATGCCCACGTCCCTTGGGGGAAAAAAAAATGAAACAAAACAAAATAAAACACTAAGTTGCTTATTTCCGTCGGGTTTTCTATTTTCCAGACTCTTCTCCATGTGGACGACCTTTGCAGCGGCGTCCCAGTTTCTCGTGCATTCCAAGTCCCTCAGACTGCGCCCCTTAAATTTTTTAAGGAAGCTACGGCCTCAAACTTGCTCGAGAAGTACAAAGGTACGGAAACCTCGCTGTTTTGTCCCCGTTTCTCTCGGAAGGCTTTGTCAAACTTTCCCCTTCCCCCGCCCCGATTGGGCCCCCCCTCGACAGTAGCGGGACTTTGAAAAATAACCTTTTTTGCAAATTGAAAAAGTTCCCAAGGGCGGAAAACAAAAAAAACAAAAAAAAAGTGTGCTCTCGAAATGAATGATGCCCACCACACCCCTCGCTCTTGTTTTAACGCCAAACTGCGCATTTTAATCAAAGTCTGCATTATTTATCGCCTGCCGGATGAGCTTACCGGCCTCATGAATCTCAATAACGCCCCCTTAAATGGGAAATTCCACGTTCTGTTTCCCGGAGAAAGTATGTATGTATATGTAGCTTGAAAAAATGTATCATCAAGTTCGAGGGGCTCGAGTCATCCGTCACTTGAAATTTGGATTTTAATTATACAGTGTCTTTTCAACCGAGGATACCACGAGCGGATAAACAAAGCTGGAAAAATTATTCTTCTTCTGCTACGTGAGATGGGACATGCCGATTGCCAGTGTTTGAATATTGGAAAACAAACATAGTCTTTTTTTTTTCTTAAAAAAAAAAAAAAAAAAAAAAAAAAATTAACTATGAGTTCATTGAGAAAAATTATGCTTTTGTAGGTCAGGTATGATCGATACATTGGTTGCTACAGCAGAGTGTACTTGAAACTACAACTTGTGTGTGTTGCTGGTATGCCCCGAAATGTGGATTCAATGAAGTTTTTGAATGATTTTGTGCCGTCACTCTACTTCTTATTGTGTTCATCCCCTTATCGTTGACTAAAAATAATTATCATTAAAAAAACCTATTGATAAACTATTTTTAGTAATTTTAAAGCCATACTTAAAAATAAGACCTAATTTATTTTTTTATTAACACACTTGTGTTAAACAGCAATTTGTAAGAAAAAAAGGGTTTTTTCTTTTAAGAAGCTGGAAAACAGTTTTCCTCCTAACAAAACCTCTCCAATAAAAAATCGTAATGTTCTGGTGAAAAAAAAAAAAAGAAAAAGAAAAAAGAAAAAAAATAATAATAATAATAATCTTTGAAGGTATATATTACAACTTAAGTTAGTTTGAAAACCTGATTATATACACACAGAGTTGACTGCACACGCAATGTTTAAAACTCAAACTGCACTCATTAATGGCACAAAATTTTGTTCAGATTTCAAAAGAGACGATTCACGAAAGACGCTCCGATGATAATTAAGGCACTCCCTTGGAGCAGTAATTTCCAACAAAATAAATAAAAAAATAAACACTCGAAACTCCGTGTGCAGCATTGAAAGCCCAAACTCAGCCAGCATCGAAAACCAGCGCACCGTGACATTTTTAATTGCCTTCATTAACCTCGGGCCAGTAGACTCGACACTTTCGAGTCCATTAAACTTTTTCCCTTCGACTAATTACACTGGCACGAGCATCCGTGCCGAGACACACGAGCGGGCGTGCAGGGGCGCTCGCATTAACAACAATCTTCGGCAGTCGAGAGTTAATAACGTCCAAACAAAAGCAATGCGCGTTCGTGTGCGTGTGTGTGGGTGTGCACCTGATCGGGCGTTAATTGTCGCACGTGCGCGTAGTTTATCATCGCCGTCGGAGGGGCCGGGGTGGCGGTAGATGTACGCGTAGATATACACAGCGTATTGATCGCATCTCTATTGGGGAGGTATCGTGGCGTCACAGACGATCGTTGCTCTGATTTTGATGAGGTATGGAACAATGTATGTGCATGGATGTACGCATACGTGATGAACATTTTTTTTTAATTTTGAGTCACTAAATTATTGTACTTTTATGAAATTATTAATACATACTTTTACGTTTCATACACCACCCAAAGAGGACAAAGTTTATAAAAATACTGCATCTTTTATATAAAATATTCATTTCTAATGACAGAAATTAAGTATATCTTTGAAGGTTACTATTATAGTAAATACCATTATGTATGTAAATTATTAATAATTTAAAGTGTTTTTTCAATAAATACCTATGCTTCGTATGGCAGGAACATTATGAAATAATAAAATACAATCGTAAGTTACGTATAATTTGGATTTTTTTTTTAATTTTGGAAAAGGTTAAATTTAAACTGAAATATAATTTTCAAATTTCCGTACGACATTACGATATTAAAATACTGGAAATTATAACATTTGCGATGTTGAATTATAAAGTAACTTTAACTTGGATGTTTTGTGATTATTATTACGATTATTAAATTATAAAAAACACATCCACCTCAAAAAGGGTATAGATATCCTATCCAGATGATACTTTAATTTTATGATTATTGCTGTCAAATTACTGCATTCAGCAACGCATACGCCATCGTACTTTAATCGCATACGAAGTCAATTTTTGAAATAATTATTAACAATCTAAAGCTATAGAAGTTCATAGTAATAAAGGAAATAAAAATTCATTAGTTAATACGATTTATTTCTAGTTTTAGCGTAATTATTCCATCATATACAGAGAATACTAATTTTTTCCTCTAAAAAGTGTACGACTTTTGGGGGGGGGGGATCGCGAAATATACGCATCATCTAGTGTCACAATGAACGCCGGCTTCGTGACGTGACGTGGAAAATTTTTTTTGCCACATGAATCTCATCTGGATGAAAAACTCGTTAACTCGGCAGTGCTCGTATATTCGCACATATACGAGCGGTGACGAGCTATAGAAAGACGAGAGAAAGGGCCAAATTAGAGGCTGGTTTTTACATTCCCGAACTTTCGTGGCAGTCGGATTACACGCAGGACGCGTAAGCGGCTTGATTCCGTGATGGGAGTCGCGACTCCTGGGCCTACATGTTCTCTCCTCCTCCTCCTCCTGCACATGAAATAAACCCATTACGTACTCTCTTTTGCTCTCATTTTCGGCCTTTAAAGCCGAGCTTCAGAATATTAACAAATCGCCTTCAGAGCTGATAAACGAGTTCAAAAGCCACGTGGATTCGTGATATAGAGGTGCTTCCAGGGAGGGAACGAAAGCAAGTCTTGATGGACGGAGGTGGTATTCCGGAGATAAGCATCATTTAGAAATTACTGGCTATTCCCGAAATTTGAGCAAAAGGTGCGTTGATATGCAAAACGATTCGTGGAAATTCGAAACGCTTCACAGAGATTATTTATCGAATGTAAACATAGGGTTGGTTGGATAAATTTATGGGCAGCTGAATTTGCGGAAAGCAGATTGGCTTCGCGTCAGCGCTTTGTATTCAGCTTTCTTAAATATACAATGTTGCCAGTTGCCATCATGTCAATTCAAACCTAAAGTGAAAAAAAAGATGCGGTGTTGCTATTATTTTTCATTTTATTAAGGATTTACTGGCTTCATTTTATAATTTTGTCAGAGCAGTGTACCATCTATCAGTTTTTCAGAGATAACTTTTTTTAACGTATAATTTTTTTTGTATCATACATTTTGAAGCTTATTAGGTACCACACTTAAAAATAAAAATTGCATTTTTTCGGCGTTTGCTGCTGAATAAGACAAATTATTGCTATTTCAATGTTTTATTGAAAATTAGATTTTTATGATAATGATGCAACAATTCACCTTCTTCCCTTGCATCTCCTCCTCAAAAAATGCTAATTAAATACTTCATCTTCCAAAATTACACTCTCAACCATTTTCTTTTCATAACTCTACACCCACTGTTTACCATGTTTTTGATAACAGTATATTTTTGTTTTTCATCATAGTATAGTTAATCATTTTTTAGTAAAGTAAAACTCTTTCTTTTGGCCATCACAACATTCAAGGATAATAAATCTTAGCCAATTATTGTGAAAACATGGAGGGAAACCAAGTCTACTTCTAGGTACTTAGTTCTTTGTAAGATTTACATTTTGCAGGAAATAAAGTTTATTATCATTTTGGGAATTATCTTTTCCTAATATCAAAAATTTTCCCTCCACTTTTCTGTACATGAATACAGACTGTCAAAAATAGTATTCAGTCGATTTTTTGTATGCGTTACATAACGCAAACTTTTGACAGTATTTAACACCTTAGAATTTTTTAATTTTAATTGAGTTCAACATGCATTTTATTAAAAATTAAAGTAGATTTATGTCTCAACTAAAAAAATTGTTAATTTTTTTTAATTCTTGACTTCACAATCTGTCCCAGACAGTTTCCGAGTTAATTCATGCAACGGGCGATTACGATACCTGGAAAAAAATTGGTTTCTTAAACAATTTATATTTTGTTTCAATTGACCATGAATTTAAAAATTAATTTTTCTATTTTAATTCCACGTTATTTAAAATTAAAAAATACCAGCTAACAAAATAAACAAATTTGCACCCATGGTCTGTTATAACTAGTTTGAAACTTGAAATTCGCTTTTTAAATATGCTTATGAATTATAGTTGACCTTTTTTTAATAACACTAAGTTATTTATTTTTTTTATCAAGTATCATAATGATAAATTAATGTTCGTGAAAAGCTAAACCAAATAAAGTTTAAGATCAGTAAACTACAAAATGCTAAAAAATATTGATTTAAGGTATTAACTTACAATTCAGTTAATTTCCGGGTCAAACTATCTGTGTACTGACAAATATCTTTGCACCCGTATCCTCTAGTGCAGCCGCTGTAACTGCAAGTGCCCCCGCGTTTTTGGGGATAAATCAACCTTTCTTTACCAAAGGAATAAACACACCTCGGGACGCATTGACATCCACGGAGACATCCGTTTTTTCTGCATGAATAATTTTCTTTATACCTAGGCACTTGCTTTCCAAAAGAAGCCAAAGGTTGTTGACCTACAAAAAAAATGGATATCTACTCGATTGTTGTTCAAATTTTGGATGCCTGGAGTGACCGACGGGTCCATGTAGTTGAAAATTATCGTTAGCAACGATGTTACCGGTATTGTATATGAGTAAGCTTCATTGGCCACAACCAAGGAAATAAGGCACAGAAAAACCAACAAGTTCGTGCTTGTTTCTTGACTCTAAATTAATGCTCTCATTGAATTTTAGCTGATGTTCTTGTGAATTCCATTTCATTGTTAGGATCTTGCGAGATTTGTGAAGCCTCTTTTTTTTGCGAGAAGTTGAAGGGTACTTTGGTCAAGTGTACATGGTTTTTCGGAGAATAGGTATTTTTTTTTAAACGATTTATTACCAAATTACTAATTTTACGAGTAAAGTGATTAAACGATTCATCTCGTTGTGTGCTGAATCGAAACAATCATTTTATTCTTAAACAAGGAATGTTTTATTCGCGAAGTATTGAATTCATCATTAGAATAATTAGATTTTTTTTTTAAGTGATACAAGCGCATAATTAGTCAGACAAAGTGATTCATTGAAAACCTCATTTAGTTATGAGTCGTACGCACTAACTTGGGACTTGTTCATAAGCATTATTCGTTAAAAATCGAGTTACAAACGTTAGAAAAAATAACCAAAGAAAAGTTTGTAAATTAAATTTGATGGATGCCATGAAACTACAACCTGTGGATATATAACTACCTATCGTTTTTCCTTACCTGGACCAAACAATGATTTATCTAGAGCTATAAAACGTAATATTGATGAAAATTATAAGGGTACCAACTAACGGCATAAAGTACATTTTGATCATCTCAAAATGTTGATTCAGAGCACGTGAGAGAAAACAGAGATAAATGTCAGTAAGGATGGATGCTTTTTGATGTCTTTTCCCATATCAAGTTATAATCGTCAGCTATCAGTATGAGACTGACGGATTAGGTGATTGTTTGACTTCTGCAGTACGTTAGTACTGCCTTAAACAATCCGCGAATGATTGTTCAATAGAAAACCGTCCATAGCAAAACCATGATTGGTTATCATGTGCAATTAAATGTCTATATCTCGTCAATTTGCAACAAAAAACTTAAAAAGAAAAAAATTAAATTATGTTACTTACTTTCCATGGTAGCTGCGGTGAGAGCCAGTAGCCCTGTCAGAACAAGGATGATTGCGTGCATCTACATACAGAAAAACAGAGCTGTTTTATGGATAAAAATAAACGTTTGTAAGCAAAAAGACTTTGTTTGCTCATGAAATGTAAAAAATTTCGACTCTGATGATTTGGAAAATCATATTATTGTCCCCTTACAGAATGTAACGTGATTGTTAAGAGGAAACAATTCTCAATACTTTTGACCTTGAGCGATTTCAAAGGGAATGAAATCTTGAACTTTAGTTTTCTCGTAGATTTTTTGTGATTTTGTAGTCATTTTTTGTTACTTTTATAACTACTTGTCCTGACTTCCTACCAGAATAATCCAAAGTGACATTCTAAAACAGCTAAGTCACTGATAAACACTGCTGTCGTTACACAATATAATTTTTTTGTGTTAAAAAAACCGACCATATTCACGGCTTTTACATAGATAAAAAGTGATCCAGTGTATGGATTTGTATTACTCATATTTATACAAACCATTTGTGAAAAAATAAATATCTTTTTTCTGTCTTATTTATATTACTTGAACCAATTTCATTAAAGACAAATGCAGACTCATACGATAATCCATTACATTGATTACATTTCAGTCATACGTTTTGTGCAAAAATGTAATTTTTTTTTGTCACTTGTAAATAATATCCCTTTAAACTCTGAATTTTCCAGTATGATATAATTTTTCCAAGTAATTATTAAATTTACTTACCACGTTAGTCAAGCTAATTCAAGGGTGGATGAGGACTTGGTAACTGTTGTCAGGCAAATGCTCAGCAACATTTATATACACCTTGATTAAACATTTTCACCTCCCCACTTCTATCATAGCTCGTGATCAGAACACTTTTTCGACCACAAGAAACATTAAAAAAATAGTGGGTTGGCTGGAATGTTAAGGTGACACGTGTGCATTTTATCATTTCATGGCACGATAATATGCAGTTTAATGTTGTGCTGAGATTTTTTATGCCAATGTTTTTTATAATACAAACATTTTTAGGGTAATTATTACAACTTACGACTAAAAAAATATTCACGAATATTGTCAAGCTTGGAAAAATATTCAACAAACAATTGTTCGTAAAATTTTGTTTCTCTTACACAACAGCACATGACGAGGGCAATAATACGTCGAAATGGAAAGTTAATTTACTGCATCATTTAAAATTGATAGAAAAGTGAGAATTAAGTGTCATGAGACCAGCATTCGTATCAGTCATCAGTGGTACTATTAAATATTTGAGTTTAATATTTAAAATTTATATTTTCTTTAATTACCAACAAGTGTACTTACTTTTTCACAAGTACACGTTTTGTGCATTCCAACACTTTGATATAATGTATTTCACTTGATGACAACGTGAGCATACCTTTGAGCTTATCGACTCTACAGAAACGGCTAATGATCAATAAACTTTATTTCTAAAACGTTCAAAAAAAGGTTCTAACAAATTTATATTGTTGTTCTACAAATGTCAAAAATATCCATTAATTTTTGTAAACAAAATCACTTATTGAGTACTTTTGCGTCTATTTGCACTTGCAGTTGTAATTTTTTTTCGCAGCTAAATTTGCGGAAAGCAGATTGGCTTCACGTCGGCGCTTATTGGTATTATTTTTCATTTTATTGAGGATTTAATGGCTTTATTTTTGATATACACACTTATTTATTATTTAACTTTCACATCACAGGGTATCACACGTACAACTAGTGCAAATAAATCTTTTCACAATGCAGGCACTCTTACGTATCCATCACTTAAATTATCATTACATCTTTTCACAAAAATACCAATATTGGAAAATAATCTTTAAAACTTTATGCTAATTATCAGTTAATAACTGAACAAAAATAATGATCTGATTTTCTTGAATAGGCGATGAAAACTAATCCTTCAAAAAATACAACAATACAATTAGTTATTCCTTCGAATTAGTTTAACGTAGTCTTTATTTAAACATATTTACCAAAATATTAAATGTTTCTAACTGTCATAGAAAACGATCAATTAAATTATTCATTACTACAATGTACTAGTTCTAGTGGCTTAATGGTTTCATAAAAAGTAAAGCAATGTTAATATAGATTTGGATCCTATGAAACAGTATGCATGACAAATTAATTAACAGCTTTTACAACTTTTGAAATTATTCATGCACAACATCAACGAATATTCGAGGCAAAGTTTCGTTGATTACAATCCTGAAACATTAACACACACGAAATTGTTAGGCGCACTTATGGTGATAGGCAAAATTGAAAGCCCCCATCCGGTAGTGCAAACTAATATTATCTAATAATAAACAGAGCTAGCAAACACATTTTCATGCCCAACTCGATTATTGTGGCGCGAAATTCGAACTCACTGATGTATTAATTCTCCCCACGTATCCAACACTTCGATGCGAACCCGAACTCTTTGCACACTTGTCACCACCCCCACCTCGTCTATAAATTACCGGTTGTATTCCTGATTAATCAGGCCAGCGGAGCGTAATCGAAATGTAAAATTCAGTCATTCGCGCGGGTATCCCTTGACAAATCACTCCGGCCGTGCTTGATGCGTTCAACCAACGGAAACCATCGATAAATATCTCGCCTACACCACTCGAAACGAATGTCCATACGGCAACGGTATCGAAAACTCGTCGAACCGTGCGATTGAACGAAATGATAAATTTTGTGTAGCCGCACCATCGATATCTCAATTGTTGTTGTTAAACACGCGAAGCAGAGAAAAAGATGCATATAATAAGCAAAAGCCCGTGTATAACCGATGGGCGCAAAAAGAGGGAGGTGTACACGCGATCCCAGGCAGGAGTCCGTGCGAGCGCGATAGTATCGTAGAAACGTAATTAAACAACGGCGGACACAAATGGCGAATTCGCTGCGATTACGTTTTCTTCCTCTCGGCTAATGTACTTTTTGTTTTTCGTTAAAGTCCGTGGCTGCGGGGAAAAAAAAGTTGCAAAAAACAAGACAGAGGGGAGGGTTTAGTTTTGATACGAGGGTTGGAGGTGCAAGAGTGGAGGGCACACTTTTTTGGCGAAGAGCTACAGGGTTGTTGTAATTATCATCACTCCAGAGGTGCGTAATTTATTACGAGTCGCTTAACTTTGGTAATGAATCTTCGAGACCATCGTACTTTGTTTTGACAAGATTTTTTTATATCTACGAGAGGTCGTTTTCGTTAAGTGGGATCGTCGTGTAATCGTCCCAACGTTTTTTTGCTCGAGTAATCCTAACCGAGTGATTTATTTTTTATACACGATAATCTTACGAAATGTATTTTAATGGAGTCTCGAGGAGTATACGTAATTTCAAAGATAACCAGTTTTGGGATGATATCCGATGATCGAGTTTCAATCAATACATTCTTTGTCAAGATGAAATTTCAACACATTTTGTTTTAAGATTTTTTTTCTGGCTAAGAAACTGGTATAGTCTTTTTACTCATGTCATACTTGTATATTTGTAAGTGCATGTATTGAATAATGCAGTACAAGAATGAAAAGCCAAGATTTCCCTGTACCACTAACTGATGACGATACATTTTTATAGCCATCTTTTTTTCCTCCATGAAAAAAACAAAAAAGTTAATCATACGCTACGCCCGCGTACACACACGGGAGAGTAGGAGCTGACACCACCAGCTATCCCAGCACTCGATCATAAACGTACACTCCATTGTGCATCGCTCCTCGCAATAACCATTACGCCAATGGGCGACGTAGGAAAGACAAAAAGACAGGGGAGGGCAGATTTTAATTCTAGTTAGCCACTGTCCGCAGATACATTACACCCCCCTCCGCGCTCGGCTTTCACGCGTACGCGGGCGCGTCGTCGACTTATCTCCCGATCCATCTCGTTTCGTCGTACATTGTTGTCCCTCGCTCCGGGTGCGTGTAATATTTCATTGGGCGTTATATGCGTGTACGGTGGCATGTATATATATATATTTTTTTTTTCTTTACCGGCCATCAGATTATCGAGAGACGAGCAATACAGGCTCCGGTCGAGCGAAACGCCGACGATAACCCTTTGAAATTGCGCACGTGTACATATACGTATATACGTACACGCGCGGATGGGCGCGTGATTATAGTGCCCATATATGAATTGTTTCGGCTTGATTGACCGAACGAGATGCGTTGCATAAGCTGTTTGTATGTGTACAGTACCCCGACCCTCTGCTATCTTGTTTATTGTCTTTGATGTAAACTCGATACGTAACGTTACACATTTCATTGTTATGGCCATTGGTGGATTATGGTCAATACATTTTTCGAAGATCAAAGGGGAATTCATTTTTTTTTTTTTTTTAAGGGATACCTTGGTTTCTGTAATGTTTTGCAGAAGTACATTTTATTCCAAATAAAGACTATCTTTAGATTTTCAAACTTTACAATAAATTTTTACATTTCGCTAAACGAATTGACATATATGAGCTTCAAAAAAACTAAAAGTAAAATGAATACCCATGTGAATCGCCATACTTATGACTCATGAATTCTGTATTGTGGTTGTACATGATGATGGTCGTGGTTTTTTTCATAAAATGGCCAAAGTTTTGCTATGGAGTTTTACAATAAGTAAACACTGGAGTGACCATCAGAATCGAGTTGTTTGTTGAAATAACAATGGTCGTTCTTTGAGCTGAGGGTCTAAAATTCTGGTCTTAGTTTTTATTAATCTTAAAACTTTGTAAAATCATAACCACTGATTCGTAAAAGTATTGACAACCTCCACCCTCGGTATCAACATTTGTAAAAGAAAAAAACGCGAGATGAGTGTAAAAACTAAAAGCCACGATAAATATGAATTATCATACAAACAATTATTCTAATAATAGCTAAAGATTTAAAAAAACCACTGGTTGGAAACACAAATTTATTGTACGCATTTCCCAATAAAAGCGTCTTTAAAAAGATGAGATACCCTAGAACTGCTCTTGTGACGGCGTTTAAAAAATTCGAGGAAAAGGAGCCACTGGAGAAGGAAAAAAAAAAAGGAGGAGGGTGGTCTCAAAGGGTCTTTGGCTACTTCTCTCCGGCGAATCTCATTTATCCCCGTAAAGGATGAGATTTCGTTCCCCGGGTCCTTTTTCCTCGGCACGTTATCGGTTAATTTGCGAGAGAAGAAAAGTGCGTGCGGGAAGAGACGAAGATGAAAAAAAAAAAAAAAAAAAAGAGGAGGAAGCCATATTCTTCCACATGGGCGCGCACTTCCGCTCGCACCATCGCGCGTAAGAAAAAAAAGAGGGGGCCCGGCGCGCCAGAGCATCCGCGGATGTTTAATCTTCATCGTCACAGTCGAGCGGATGTATTTCTTCCTCGACTTTGCCTCCGTAGAAAGAAACTCCGCGCAAATCGTTTATTAGCCACTTTCAAGTATTTCTCGTTACTTTTTTTTTCTTTCTTCTTTTTTTTTCCACCAGCAGCGCCTCTCGACCGAGCCATTGTCGTCCGACCCTTTGCTTCTTTCTTCCCCGAGACAAATTGCTATTTCACTTTTCTGCAGCGGCCCTTCTTTCTCTTCCCCGTCGCTTTAGCTGATTTTCTTCAACGAGAAACGATAGTCCGTCCCTGCCCTCGGAGGTATACGTGTTTGCGCCCGAGGCGGGAGATGAAGGAAAAAATTGGATCTCAATTGAAATCGCATTAGCTGCGAGATTTTCCTTGAAGAGTAGCTGACGGTGAAAGCAGGAGGGAAAGGATATACACAGGCACCCGTGTGAGTGCGGTGTG